TGTTCTCTGCTTCGTCTCCTGCAGACTACGAGAAGATATTCCTCCTCCTGAAGCAGATCCAGGGCACGCTGGACACCCGGCTCATTTTTCTCCAAAACATCATCAAAGAGGCAGCCAGGTACGAAAGTTGAGCTTTCTCACGTTAAGTGTGCGCTGAACCGTACGGTTGTTTAGTTAGGAGTCGCATGGAGAGCGAAGACGGGGAATCTGAACTCCTGCCCATCCTTTCATGTGAGCATAACTTAAAAAAAACTCTGGTACCACATTCCATATTGGCGTGTGGCTGAATCTAATTAAAAAATGATTCCTTTCAAATATTGGGTTGCCATGTCAACGTCCAAGATGGCTGCCACCGTATGTGTTAATCTTGTGAGCTGTGTAACTTGAGAAATGTGACGACTGCCTCTTGTTTTGTTTTTTCTCGGTTCACGTCCGTCGCCCGCCCGTTAGATTAGCGCTACGTTGCGTGCCGCTTGTTTTACCAACAAATTATGTATCGTTCCTGTTCTGGTAGAGAGAAAAAAAACAACTTGTACACATTATAAATCAAATAAATGTTGCAAAATGAGTTGCAGATGTTTAAAAATTCAAACTTCAATGTTTTTTTTTGTTACCGCAAAGGTTCAAGAAGCGCGTTCTCATCGAGCAGCTGGAAATCTTCCTGGAGGAAATCCACAGCAGATCCATTGAAATGAACCACGTGGACTCGCTCTGACCGCCTGAGCCGACCCGTCAGAATCTTTCTGGACAGAACCTGGTTCTGGAGCCGTCACTGCTTCAGTCTGCATCACCAGCGCTCGTGTTGGTTCAGTCGGTTATCGCTCCTGGGGGGTCCCCCGGAGAGAGGCGGGGGGCGCCTGCAGCCTGGATGTGATGTTCAGACCCGTTGTCACCGTGTGGTCGTAGGAAGGAGTCGGAGGCTGTTTGGTTTCTCATAACTCAGGGTCAAAAGGGATCCAGTCAACACTTCTCCTCGCCTGTCTTTTCTTTCAGTCCCCCCCCCCCCCCCCAACTCTTCTTCCATGGTAAGTCTTACTTTTTAAGTTTCGTAGGAGGAAGAGTCTGTTATAAAAGTTAAAACTGACTTTTTACACTCCACCAAAATGGAGCACTCCACCACTCGGTTCTTAAAACGGGGAATATTCAGCTCCGGCGTTGAATTGCTCCGATGATTAATACCATCGATTTTAATAATTTAGGGCGTTTGACGAAGTGCACAGTTTTAGTTTCCTCTGGGGGAAATGAAAAACGAAAGGATCCACGGTGTTCATTTCGTCTGAAGACTGTCAAATTAAAGGTCCGAGTGGTTTTTACGGTGTCGGGGTTTCACAGATCCATGCGACGTGATTTCATCCTGAGTGATGCAACACTGGTGATAAATGTTGTATAAACAGGACAAAGCTCAGGAACTGACATTAATGCTTCAGCAATAACATTAAAGTCACCCCCTCACACACACACACACACACACACACACACTTATTTATACGTAGCTTTAGCCGGAAGCGGAGGATATGCAAGACAAACGAAGGAACGCTGGACTGATGATGAACTGACGTTTTGGTTGCCATTTATTGAGCCAATGAGCTGGTTGCTGCCAAACTGAAATATGGCAAGCATTTTGTGTATTTATTCAGCATCCGTGCCATAAATGATTTTCACCCACTACTTCACGACTAAACTGCACTAGTTCAACGGATGCTTTTACTGGAAACACTGTTTTGACCACAAGTGGCAGCTTTGCCCAAGTCATTAGTCAACTCGTGCTGCACTAGTAGCCCAGTGGTAGTGACTAGTTAACTAGTAAGGCTTAAAATGTTCCCTAGTCAACTAGTGCGCTTTTAAAAGTCCACTGGGCGCCTAAAACATAGACTAGTTAACGTGCAAGGGTTTTTGATGCTTACTGATTATGATGGTGGTTGAGTGGGTCCTGTGGTTCCCAACACTGGTCCTTGAGGAACGCCGTCCTGCATGTTTATTTCCCTCTAACACACCTGACTCAGTGATTTTATTACTTAAGTTCTGCAGAAGCCTGTTAATCACTCATTCGTTCAAATCAGGGAAACAAAACACACAGGATGGTGTTCCTCAAGGGCCACTGTTTGGAACCTCTGCACTGGTGTAATAAAAGCCAACTAGCTGGACTACTGCTGCTGCACTTTGGCTGTCGGTACATTAAAGTCCAATCCTGGTTCTTTTAAGGGCCACTGTCGTGCACGTTGAAGATGTTTCTCTGCTTTGAACGAGGCTGCTGCAAAACCTGAAGGCGTGCTGAAGAGCAAGGAAACTACTAAAACACACAGGATAGTGGCCCTCAAGGGCCAGGACTGGACATCACTGGTCTGCTAGAACTTCTGCTCCAACTAGTGCAAACAAGTGTTAGTCCATGTTTGTTGAGTTGGTGTCACCAAGTGTGCAACTGATCAGAATTGTTATTGAGGATTTTGAATAAATACTCGAATGTCTTGCCGTAACTCCTCCCCCTTGTTACGAATCTCAAACCCATTTCTTGTCACCTTTAAATTAAATGCACTTGTGTAAATTTGAGAATTTCTATTTATTGTAATTTAAGAAACTATTTGCTGCGATTTTTAAAGCTATAATTTTTGTCTTCGAGCTCGTCCTGCGTTCTCAAACGTGCACAAATAAACGGTCACAGGTCAAAAGCTGATTTCTGATTCACAGGGCCGCCCCCACCCTCACCCCCACCCACCTCAGACAGGGACCAAAATCTGCCATACTTGTCTTTATTTGTGACGAGGCCGCTACCTAGAGTATTTTGAATACACTGTAAAGATGTAAATAACCCTAGAGTACTATTTAAAAACTGTTCAGTGTAAAATGGCCTTTTTGTATTTCCATGAATAAAGTTTCTATTTTACACTGAAGGGCCGTGTAAATAAAGTGTTCATTTAAAGATCGGTGTGCTTTTTGTTCTTTGTTTGAGCACAACAAATAAATAAATCGAAGGACTGAGACGAATTCAAGAATCGGGACACGCAAAATGTAAAAAGATATTAACGTTTTTATTTACAGCTGTGTACAAAAATAATGTCCCTCTTCCTGAAGTGTCCAAACATCTTCCATTTGGTCCAAAAAATAAATATCAGGCGTGAAACGAGTTGACGTGCAGTGAAGATGAAGATGGATGAAGAGCCTTACATCCCTGGGTCTGCAGGGTTCAGCACTCGACCCATGAACAAGATGCAGCCTGAAGCAGACGACACAAACATGAAATTAAAAACACGTACAAGAGTTTCCCCACATGTAAAA